GAACGCGCATATCCAAAGACAGAAAGCTAGAACTAAACTTTGATGATATGTAGCATCAAATAAAATTGAGAAATCGACATTTTTCTCTCTTTTATCGACTAAAATCATCCGATTTAGAACAAATGAAAAAAATAGTTATTAAAACCGAACTCAAACAAATGTTCTAAGAAGGATATATGGACAGTTTTGAACAAGTTTCCTTTGTCATTCGTTGTAATATGCTACGATGTAGACCAAAATTGAGTATCTATAAGCTATTTCTAACCAACGTTTGATCTTCCTTTAGAAATATTCTGATAAATTGCTTAACAAAAATCGATTGATACTTTTCATTGAATAAATCGAATTTCGTTCATCAGGAAATTCGACGATCTCCTACATAATTTTAATCTCTATTATGTTAACACTTTAAAAATAAAAACGAAATAAAACCTCTACTACTAATTTCAAAGTTATAGTAATAAAAGATTTTTTTGATATTATTTAAGGTTCATCTGTAAATGCAATGCAAATGTCTTGTTTACTTGGTCAACAAGAATTAGAAGGTAAACGTCCACCAATGATGCCAGGTGGTCGAACTTTACCATCATTTCGTCCATATGAATATTCACCACGATCAGGTGATTTTGTTGATAGAAGTTTTTTAAGTGGTATACGACCACAAGAATATTGTTTTCATTGTATGGCTGGACGAGAAGTATGAAAACAATTATTTGTTTTTTTTTTAAATTCATTTTTATTTTTCTTTTATTAAGGTCTTATTGATAGAGCTGTAAAAACTGCACGTATTGGTTATTTACAACGTTGTTTAATGAAACATTTCGAAGGTTTAGTTGTTAATTATGATTTAACAGTACATGATAGTGATCGAAGTGTTATACAATTTCAATATGGTGAAGATAGTTTAGCTGTTGAAAAATGTACTTATTTAAAAGAACAATATTATCCATTTCTTATTGATAATCAATCAATAATATTAGGTCAAGATGAATATTCACGTATTGTTGATATATGTGGTTCAACAAAAGAAAAACAACCAATTATAAAAACATTTAAAAAAATTCGTGCATGGAGAAAAAAAACTCGAGATTTAGCTGATAATGAAAATAATTTAAATGATTGAATATATTTAAAAATAAGTGATGAAACAAAAATACGTATGACACCATTTATAAATTATTCACGTTTTTTTGATTTACATA